TAAGGCAGTCTGCAGAGTGAAAACTGGCATTCACGCAGAGCAGACCTATTCAGTCTGCAGTGAAGTTGTGTGGGCAGTGCAGATGCGCGCATTGTGGTGGTGTGGTGGTTGTGATGTGTCAGCCAGTTGATGAGCGGAAGTTGTCTATTGTGAGGGTAGATGATTGCTGCCCTCACATTTGTTTGGTTGGTCTTGTGGCGTTGCAGAGGGCAGCAGTGGATGAGGTGATGTGATTGACCAGATGGGAGTATGGTGAGTTGATGTTGGGAGGGTGAATGACACGATTTGGTGAGGTGTGAGGAATGGGTTGAGGGTGATTGGGTCAAGTGTTGCACCGACGTGTGGCCAGCGTACGGTTGATTGATTGATGTTGCAGTGCAGTGGCGTCACCTCAACGCCACTCTGTCTGCCTTCTCTTTCATGCAAAATGGAGGACAAGGGGATGAAGAGGTAGTAGTGGTAGAAGACAAGGAAGAGGAGGAGGAGGAAGAGGAGAAGTGTTTGAGAATGGGATGGAAGATCTTGAATGTTGTGTTGGAGTTGTGTGGAGATTGGAAGTACTTGCATTTCATGAGGTGCTGCACAGAATCAACACCAACACACACGCACACACAGAATCACAGATGCACAAAAGTGTTTGGAGGGGATGGCGTTGAATCACAGATGGGAGAGTGAGGCAGAGGGGTGTGGGAATGGATTGGTCGAATGGCATGCGTGTGTTCGGTGAGCGTTGGAGGATGGGGAGGACGAGGCGGTGGCACGGAGGAGGTGGAAGTGTTTGAGTTGTGGAGTGAAGGATGTGAGTGTGAAGGAGTGGTGGTGGTGGTGGTGGTGGTGTTTGGTGTCATTGCAAAGGCATGTTAATGCTTGCTTTTGTCAATGTTATTGGGAGGCAGACATTTGATGTGTAGTAATGGCAGCAAGAGGAGAACTGTGAGGGTGTGAGGGACGTGGGGAGGGGCAAGGCGAGGCGGTGCGGTGTTGGTGCAGGAGGAGACCCCACCAAGGCAGTGCAATGTGAGGGTGTGTAGTGACTGTTCACTCGGGTGTGTAGTGAGTTGGGATACTTCATGAAGTTGATGTTCAATGGTGATGGTTAAGTGCTCACTGTCCTGTGGGAGAGTGTCACTTTCCTTCATTCTGATTGGTTGCGTGCGTGTTGAACATGCACATTTTACAAAATATTTACGCACTATGGCAGTCATTATTTGTCATTAATAAGTGTTACCCTCTTTTAATTGTTTATTTTCTCTAAAATTACTCATGATGTCTTTCTACTTTTTGCGATAAAATGGAATCTTACGATTAATTACTTGCGTAATTTTTTAAGACTAGGACTATTTAAATAAATTACAAACATTTGGTAAAATGCGGAGGATTGAAGTCCTTTTCCTTCTCAGTTAGAATTATTTTCAAGTTCATCACACCGACTTTGGGGGACTAAGATGGTGCCCGCTACTGTTTGTCGAGGCAGCAGTAATCAAATTGTAAACCCAGACAAGAAGCATTACTAATTGTATTCGCCCTTTACTGCGGTTATAATGACTATGAATCGTTTAAATGTGCCTTGTAGGTGCGTGCCGGAATTCACTTCGAACGCCATGCATGGAGCTCCCCTCTCCATTCACCTATCAACATCTCCGCAGGACGCCACTTAGGCGATGAGAAGGGAGCGGTTGGATGCACCTAGTGTTAACACACCACTTCCTAACCCTGTAATAAGTTCTCATTTCTCAAAGGAAAGATGCCACTTACCAATGGGTTTTGCTGGTCTTTTGATGTTTAGAGGCATCCATTGTCACTTAACAGCCATAGAATTTGCGACGTCAACACGTTCACCGCGTTAGGAACGGAAAATCTCTCCCTTTGTCTTGTACTAGAACACACATGAGTTGTTTAAATGTGCTCTGTAGGTGGGAAACGAGAGTTAAATTCCAACTTCATGATTATTTGGATATTTTATCACCTCCTTTTCGTTTCACGGTCAGCCCTGTCAACCCTTTTATGTGATCGGCCTTCTGAGGTAACGGTCACGATGAGCTCAAATAATACGTTAGGGTGGTAATAAGTGAATAAACCGTACTCTTCACCCTACACAATTTCTGCAATTTGATGTGAGCATGACTTGTTATGCTAACCTTTTTAGTTGAAGAAGGTGAGGGAATTTGGAAGTTCATTACCCAAGGAATGGAATCGCAGTTGATATGATTTACCGCTGCCTTGGTAATTACCAATGTTCTGTAATTCTCTCCCACTGAATGACGAAGATGGTGACTAGTTAGGTTTCAATGCGCCCCATTGCACACCCTCTTTTCAATGCCTTGCAAATTAGCTTCGTCCATTTGTGTCAAATTGGTGACTTTGAATGCGCTTACCTGATAGCCAGTTGTTGATTCTGTTGTTTAGAAAGAAAAGTAATTCATTTAACATTCATAATAGGCATTTAAAGATGAAGTTACGCTTTCCTATGATATTGCTTATTTCATGAACTTTAACATTTCTCCTTCTAATGCATCCAGTCGGCAAGAAAGATGGAAAAACTTATACAGGATAATAATTTTTGAAACGACTTCTGAAAACAACATCTCTACAGCCAACAAGCATCAATAAAGTGTTTTTCTGACTTTTACGCCTCCAGACACACAAGAGTGAACTTTTAGTGCATTTAATTTACTAAAGTAGGTTTCAGATTTCCCAAGCCCTACAATGATCTTCACGTTGATGCCTCTCTTCACCTCCTTTGATCAGTACGAGAGAAAGCAAAATAGAGACTGCCATGGAAGGAAAATCTTCTCATGGACAAAACTTACTGTGTTATGTGTTCGAATTTGCAAATTTCCTTCTTCGCCCTCTCCCCTCCCCTCCCCCATCAGAACAAAAACCAACCGACCCTCATGCCACTAAGTGATAAAGGTTGGCAATTTTGCAAGAAAAAGGAGGCATTCAAGTGCAGATGAGTGGGTGAGTGGTTATAAACGTGGTGAATGAGTCGGTGATTTGTAGTGGCGGAAAAAAAAGAAAAAAAAGAACCAGGCAACCATTCATTAATTCGCCTACCGCCGGAAACTGAAACCCATATCTCATTAAGTTAGTCACCAAACCGCCTTTACTAATAGGTGGTGGTTTTAAGTAGTGACAAAAGTGAAGAGCGACTTATTGTATACAAATTTCGGTGTCTGGAGACTTCGTGATATTTTACTGTGAATTGGTTGTTGGCGAATTCTTTGCCGCTTTCCTTCCACTTTTGTTTATTAAGTAGATTAGCCTGTCAGAAGCATGTAAGAGAAAACAAACTGTATTCCAATTCCCCTCTCCGATCATCTAATGACTCGTCGGTTTTCGTGGCGCAAATGTAGCCAGGAAGTCGGATTTCTGTTTTATCGATAGAAAAAATAAAAATAATAATAAAATAATTATAAAAATTAGAGACAGAATAGCATGATAACTTTACAATCATCCTGCATAATACAAAAGCCTTCTCGGTGCTATCATCGGGTCACACTTGAGGGTTAAAAGAATGGATGACTGTTTTCTCAGCTCTACTTGGTATAAAGCACTTCCCTCGAGGATAGCCGTTCAACGTACTTTATGCTAGTAAGACGAATTTATGAGTACCTACGTTAAAGAATTGTGATTTATTTTAGGTAGGCTGATGATTCATTAATTATGCAGTCACAGCAACTGGAGAATGCGTGAATTGTTAAACACTTCACACAACTCAAACATCCAAGGAGGACTAAATTTTTACCGCAATGTAACATCTTGCATACACAGCCCAGAGTCAGATGAATACCAAATTGGCTAAAAGTCATGCAGGCAGTCAACAAAACAAGGCATTACGTTGCCCCTCTCCTCCTTCCACAGACATCCACAACACCACCCTCTGTACACCTCCCACGCCAACCACCACAACTTGTCCGCTATTGCATCAAAACATCCACGAGGCAGCCGCGTCAATTAACAGCTCGCATGACACTTAGGGATTGTTCTTCACCCACTCACCACCTTCGACCAAATGTGCAGTTGCATTGGGTCATAACAAGGCAAGTGAGAAGCGAAACTTCTGCTCACCATCAAATGTGTCGGCGACGAGACGCTGGAGTATTGGTTCAAAACATAATGCGTATCAGGGGAATGCGAATCAAGCACAGTCCTGTGTGGAGGGTCGCGCAATGCAGTGTCATCGTCGACACACGCAAATGCAAGCAATGTGAACAGTGGTATCGTTGGGTTAGTTGACAGCTTGTCTGTGGAAGATGGGAGAGTGGCGGATGCCAAGCACAGACGTCGATCTCAACCTCTCCGTGGTGGAGAAGTTGAGGAATCTGGCGTCCCTTGCAGTGTGGCTCTGCGTGTGGTGGGCAGAAGTGTGTGACGAAGGGTAGAGACGTGGAGAATGAAGAAGTGAAGTCGAGCAGAGTTGACTTTCCACTGCGATGAGTGCAAATTGTCGCTATTTCCCATTTGGAGGAGGAATGCGTTAAGAAGGGCTAACAACTTATATTTATGGGGAAGTAGATGACGTGGAGCTTTGGCTTGGCCCGCAGACCAGCCCACACAGCCCATCACGAAATGGACACCAAAGTGACCGTCGGCCATACAAAGAGTCAAATAACCATGCTATTACACAAAAGCCTTTACCATCACAGAGCAAGCGATGGTTGATAAATGCAAGCCATGTCATCGGACAATAAAGACGGGATGAGAGAAGGATTCTGAGAAATGTAGGAAGAACATTAAGTATTTTAATGGATCAAAGTACTCAGTAATTGTCATGATTATGGTAACTACGAATCTTCATGCATTCCTAAGAATGACAACACTAACAATTGATAACAATTGATAAAAAACCTACTTTATCACTTTAACGACATAAAAGCAAATATTTATCACTAAAAATTGCTCTTACAACGACTTTGAAAAGTCATTTTACTGTACACATCAACACAATGCTTGTTGACTAAACGCATTGTTTTTTTAAAGTAAGTCGCATCGAGCGCGCCAAAACATGTTGTTTGGAAAGACATTCAATGGATTGTAATAGTAATACAAATCATCTCAACAAAAGCAGAAGCCTGTGCTTGCAAAGCCCAGGCAACCCAGTTTCCATATTTGACAACGTAAGGTAAGGTAAAAAATGGCATTACACTTCATTCGTGCCTCAAGTTAAATCAACACTAGTTAATTCAAACTTAGGCCATTGATAAATTATGAGTGCTGTTTTAAAATAAAGCGCAATAACATTTTTAACTCGATACCTTTTTTAAAGATGGAATTTTCGGCTTTGAATTTCTGTGAAAATGATTACAAAGGTGATGAAAGATGCCTTCCACACAATGAAATGCGTAACCTTAGAATGACCCCTTAAGGTGAAAATGTTGGGTCATGTCAGCCTTGTGATTGAGTGGACGCCTTAGTCACACAGATAAAACTTAATTTAATCCTCTAAAAGGCAATGGCAACATGCAAACCTCCGTTCCATTAGTAGAACATAGCCGTTATTATGCATTCACTCGTCAACCAATGTTGCGAATTGGAAATAGAAGAAAAACTGGACTTTCTAAGATACCCCTAAATGGTGAGATCTGTGAACTCACCTCGACGTCCTATTCCTAATACAGAGGCAAGTTAATTATTTTAACATTACTACTGTAGTATATACTGATGTGTTCAAGTTTACCTTTAAAGGGGAGAGGCGGGAAAGCAAGTCAAACACGAATTCCGTCCGTGAGAAGCGTGAAGAGACGTCCTCAGGATGACATTGGCATTCCGTCTCATCAGCTCGCCTTCCATTTCCTTTTTTTCAATACTTGATGCCGTATAAAGCTTCCTCAAGCAACCCGAGGTGCGGGAACCTGAGGGTAGGCAGATAGGCAGGCAGATCCTGCAATTACTCTACAAAGTGAACTGAGTCAGTACAGAGCTTAGAGGATGTCCAACACACCTAAATAATAATAATAATAATTTTCTACAACAATCCTTTCTATTTGTAAACAAGGTAGCAATGATCAACATTTTTAAATCAGATTAAAAACAGAATGCAATTCTGCTACTAACGCCTAGGCGTCGTCATACCAAGAGAACACACGTTAGACGCCAACTGCTTGTAAAAGATCGATATTATTTTCGATAAGGGGGAACATCATCGATGAGATAACCAATGGAAAACGCGTACAGACGGAGAAATCGATACTTCATTCTGCAATGTCGTGAATGCACACTACTTTGGAGCTGAGATTCTTAATTTACTTGCCTACTTTCTGCACAAAATAGTTTACATGTGAATGCCAAAATCTGCTGCATTGTAATAATGTTGCTTCTTTATCACCTGAAAATGCTATTCATTTCATCCTTCCTCTCAACTGGATGGGGAAAAAGAGTTATGGCAAAGTGCCTTGTACGGGCCAAGATCTAGCGTCATGGCATTTCTGTCACAGCTCGACTGTGTGACATTTTTTCACCGGCGTGATATCAGATGATTCACCTTCTTTACCCCTTCTATTCGATGGATTTGTTTATGGTAGTTGGGTGGATTGGGACTGGATCTAACACGATCTGTCTTGAAAGAGCGCATAAACAACACAGCACCTTCGATCTCTTCCTTTGGTCAGCACAAGTAAAACGTTTTGGGATGCTTGGACGGTAGCTTGGACGAGGATGAGTCAGTTGAGGTATGTTATCGTGGTGGTGTCTAGGGGGAAGAACAACAGTTGGCCACGTCTAATGTTTGTTAAAGGTGCAACTTGTTGACACAAGGATATGCATGGATAGGTAGATACGAGTTCCTTAATGCTAAGACGCGCCAAAAAGTGGGGTACAGTCAGTTGCTATTCCTGAGTTCCTTACACTTACCTTTCCGAAATAACGTAATCAAATAGTCACATCTTTTTTCATTAAATTTCTGTCATCAGATCAAAAACTCGAGGGAAGATAGGGACCTTGGTTCTGTGCTATTGTGAAGCTTAGGTTATTTTCGTTTAAAGGGATAAGGCGAACACTTGTGTACTCTACTGCCACTCAACTCCATCCCATCTACCAACTTCTAGGTACTTGTACCGACACCTGCTATGAATGTCGCCAAATCACAGAATGCATAAGGGGGCAACCTACAACCCCATTAAGTAATCCAAGAATGCAAGTTGTCATCTTGAGTGCTGAAGTGCAGAATCTCCGTATTTAAACCGTTCGCAACAAATGGCAAGCTCGGGACCATGATGGAGCTCACAACCATCCCGCATGGAGCACCAGCCCACCGTAAGCCATTGCTTTCACAGCCACGCACCTTAAACACCTAACAACCTCTACACTGTGTCCGATCTGAGCAGGGCCAACTCCACTACCCACCAGTTGAAGGCGTGCAAAAAAAAACCTCCCCCTACTTTCAACGAGACGTTGTATCGCGATCTGGTCTCAAACACGCTCTAAGAGGTGGCATCAGACATCACTTACACAACTTTCCGCCCAATGAAGCAACCATAAAATTCACATCAATTCTGCTGTGGTCAAATCTCATTTAGGAAAGTTGTTGAAAAGTCGACAACAAAAATGCATACAATGACACAGCAAATAAATTATTCAACATAAGTATATTATGTATAAACATACACGGGCACCCTTTTAAAAACTTTGTGTGTCGACCAAACCCGGATCTAAAGGTGCTGGTGGCGATTTCAGTGGTGATGAGAATGATAGAACGAAAGAAGGAATAAAGAGTCGGGACAGAAAAGGACTATGTACAGAACAATTTCCATTTTGTCATTTCTTCTTCTGAGAAGATTTGCTCGAGGACGATGTGGTGCCACCTCTCCGCTTCGATGGTGACGGCGACCGTGAGCGTGAGCGACGCGATCTTCGAGGTGATCGATCGCGATTACGACTCTACAAAGTGGAGGAGACGATTAAACGCGAATAACGCCCCACAGTTAGGTGAGGACTACAAGAGTACCTCGTCATCTCGACGCCTGGAACGTTTATGCTGATTGTGAGAGTTACCGCCTTCATCGTCCGAAGCTTCACCCTCCTCCCTCAAGTCTGTTAACTCTTCTCGAGTTCGTTTTCCTGACATTGGGGAGGCCGAATAAGTGTCCTCGTCAGGAGATCTCGAATGCCGTCGACGTGAAGAACGACTGTCATCGTGTCGTTTACTGGCACTGCTGCTACTACCATGCCGTCGTTTTGACGTCGAAGATGGAAAAGATGTCTTTGAAGACTTTGATGAAGAAGAATTTTTGCTGCTGCCGACAGGTTTGGAGGACGAAGATTTCGTCGATGCTTCTTGAGTTTCTTCTAGCCGCTCCAGAAGTCGCTCACGAAATCGGTCCACTTGCTAAATAGGTAAGTCATGAAGGTCTGGAATGATACAGATCCTACCTTAGAAATGGCTTCATCAGTTACCGATGAATCGCCCCTCTTACGACAGGCTTCCAGCTCATCCTGGTACTTTACTACCTTCATTTCGATCTCCCTCAATGCTCGACGGCGAGAATCAGAGATCGGTTCAGTTGTCTGCTGTGGCGGTGGTGATGGAGGAGACAAAGCGTCATCGTCGTCGTAGGCAACGAGGCCCAGACCAGCTGCACCAAATCCATCCAGTGGTCTAAACGAGCAAAGAGTTACCAAAAGTTTTACTCAACTAAATTAAGTAGAACAACACCCACTTTCCATCAACGTCCTCATCGGCTTCGTCTTTTGAGGCTGCAATTTCACCTGTAGCAGATGGTTGCTTGGATGGTGAAGCAGATGGGTCGGCAAAGAGATCCCATCGGTTGGAGGTGACTGCCTCTTCAGCTGCTTTATCCGGATCAATTGATTCCCACTTGGATGGCACAAAAAGTGGTGCTGGGGCGGAGGGTAGTTTGTTAGCATCCCTCAATTTTGTGGAACTAGAAGATAGCCAAAATAAAATTAGACGAAGTTGGAGAACATTAGCTCCACAATAAATCCAAACCCACGTGGTATCCAACGGTACGCCCTCAATGCCTTCATCCTCCTCGTTGTCCCCACCACCGAAATTTAATGGACTGCCATCCACATCTAGAGGATCACCATCGTATTGAACCAGTGGAGCACCGTCAAGAGACTCCACATTAGCAGTGACTGCAGTCATTCCACTGGATTTGGAAGTAACAGCAGCAGCTTCTAAGTGCACACCAGAAACCGCCTCTTCATCCATTTCAGAAATGTTGGCAGACTTCTTAGATGTCACCTAAAGATAAGCAAAAAAGAATTCGGTGGAAATGCAGGAGATTTTTGATGGTGGCAAACATTCAAACAGGAACAAGTCCTCCCAATACCTCATGGGGCAAGTCGGCACCCAGAAGTACATCGAATTTGTGAGAAAAAAAAACAAATTAAGTTGGTGAGTTGGGAACGAGTGAATTAATCAGCGGTAGGCAAAATGACAGTGAAAAGGTGAAGGGATGAAACAAGGATGTGCAAAGGCAAGGATAAGCCTAGAATGAATGAATGAATCGGAAGGAGACACAACGCACAATTCGATCAAGAGATTTGAGACTGATAAGTGAGATCACTGAGTGAATTTCAGTTGCCTGATTCATAGGTACGTTATCGAGAGGTGAACAGTCACAGGAATGAGAACAGACGCACGTAACCAGAATTTATGGGTGGATCAGGAATCGACAATCCAGAGGCGAATGCCCCACTCAACGTATGAAATGACAATTTAGGAAATGGAGGAAGTGAATCAAAAAGGAGACTTATCAGAAATGGAGAAGTGATATGTGAAAAAAAAAGAACTCCTGACTTACACTGGGCGTCAATCCGAGGAAGACATTCTGTAGTTGTATAAGAAAATCGTTGGGATATATCGCCCATTCTTCCCAGGCTCGGAAGCACAGCATTACTTTTTGCTGAAAGCACGAAAAAGTTATATCACAAAATCAACTAAACCTTTAAGTAATTAAAGCCTCCAAGCCAACCTTCAGCTGCTCAGCCTTCAATTTACTCTCCAGTTCACGGAAAAACGACCCAATATCGTTGAAAATTTCAAACAGTCGACTTTCAAAGCTGTAGACCAGAAAAGAAATTAGTTTCTTGGTGCGAATTAACACCCTCCTGGCTCCTGGAAGATGAAATGAAACTAACCACTTCCTATAAAATGATGCATTAGGTACTTTCGCTCCCGAGTTGTATAGGATGTCGGAAGTGAGAAAAAGCCTCGCGACCACAGATTGCACCGATGTAGCCGGTTTGACTGTAAATACATTACTACCACCATATTCAGTATCTTCATCCGACTCCGGTTTGCCTAGGGGTCGTTTCAGTGACTTGGCAATTATATCGACAACATCTGGAGCAGCATCAGCGTGTTCCAAACACCAGAGCATTACGTCACCGACTTGGGCTCGAGAGGGCTCCAGATCATTGATCCACACCGCTAGACGACCGCGCTGAGCCTCAGTGAGGCCTAAGGCTCCGCCTCGATCACCGCTAGCGCCTCGACGAAATGCATCGTCACGACATTCGGAACTAAGAAATAATAAGGACATAGAAATTCAGTACAGATAGATGTGTGATTGAAGAAGGGATCAGGAGTGTATAAGGAATAAATAGTCAAATCCATGACGAAATAACGAATCCTAGATGGATCTGTTTGGACTGAAAAAGAATGTGGTAAATGGATGAACTGAAAATGAATTATTTTGTGGATAGAGAGATACTTAATGATTGATATGCAGTCTAAACATGAAGAAAGTGGATAAACGCTGAGTAGATAGGAAGCATAGTAGGAGCATTCTGGACAAACTGCCGAAAAATGCAAACGAGGTAAACAAAACATAACCAAACCTAAGCTGGATGGCCAAGAGTAAACACAATGCAGATCCTCACAGAATCGGATTAAAGTCTAAAGACAATCAAGCATTCGAAACACCTCTCAACTAATGAAGAACGCTAAGCGACAGTCACAAAGATTTGAGCACGGCCTAGGTGCTACAATGCCATAATGCAGTCACCAACATCCGAAAGCATCCCTAACGAACCAAGTCTAGCTATTTTAAGAGCGTGAGGGCGAAGAGAATCCTTAAAAGCATGATTTCTAAGAAACTGAGAATGCAGCTACGTCCTATGCGCTTATCATTCCAAAGTCAACCAATATTCAAATTAATCGCGCGAAGAGTCGACGTAAAGCGACCTTCTTAATTTGTAAGGCAACTTCCGTTTAACCACCTTCAAAGTTCTGGAGTTAACTTACTCTATCGCGTCATCGCTTCTCCCAGCATGATACCCCGGAGCAAATGGATAGTCAGCAGGTTCAACTAATTCCTCCGGCATCCCATTGGTAAAGAAGTTAATCGGTGGCGGTCTCCACAACGGCCCACCCTCGTACATCCGAAACTCCTCCAAGCTCCACTTGTTCACCGGTTCTCCCTTCGAGTGGACAGTAAGGCATCGATCAGAATGGAAAATTATGAGAGGATAGGAGAACGGCAACTCACATGGAGTATAGACCACAATTTCCACCGATAATATAGGTGCTCAGGGGTTTGGTAGTCAAAGAGAAACCTAACAAAGGAGATCCAGTTCGTCACCGGGTATTAGAAAGATGAGGAAAAGGGGAAGCGTGAAACGGACTTATATTGAGGATTCTTCTCTTCTCTGTGCATAATGGCAGCCTCGAATTGAGGTCCTTCCCGCACAACAAACTCAATCAATCGGTGGATTGTAGCCAGCACTGTCCTATCCGAAGGTATGACCACCTTAACAACGGCCTCTTCCAACACCTAGAGACGATAAAGCAAGGCACACTATAAAATAGGGGAAATAGGCCAAAACAGTTATAAAGTGCCAGACGTACCTTAGCAAACGTCTCTTTCGGCATAGTATGAATGTTATAAGGGAACCGATCAGGCGCTGGCGGTAGGCTGTGCGATGCGGAGTCACCATTACCAATAGACTCAGTAACGAGCTTCGCCCTTTCCTTAATTGCTGGCCTAAGTGACTTCAACCAATCCCGAGGTTGCGCATTAAACGGAAGACCGGATTGCGAGGGTGCCTTGATGAGCTCAAGAAGGAGGGGTGGAACATACACAGGGTAGACGGGGATAGGAACAGTTTTGCCCCAGCCCAACTTCATTTCATAGCCCATCAGCTCTTTGCCCCGCAAATTTTCCAAAGCTCGTTCCGCATCAATGCGATTCATGAAGGCGACGAAACCGCAATTTCTGGCTACGGCACGCTGCTCTTCTGTGCGTGGCCACATAATTTTAACACTGGCCAAGGGGCCATAGCGTCCAAATATGTCACATAGCTGTTGCTCCGTCATTTTGGGGCATAGGTTGCCGAGGAAGAGGTTGGTTGTGGACTTATCAGTGTCCTCATCATATGGATATCCATCTAAGAGATATTCTTGTGCTTGGAAAACGACCTTACACTCTCGCATTCGGTTTCTCTTGTCCGATTCATCGTACTCCAAGGAGAGCTCAGAGGTAGGCAAGCTTTGCGGTGCTTTGCTTTCGGATATTCCTCTAGCGCGATTCTGCTGTCTCAGTTGATGCCGCTGCTCACGTTGTTTTTGAAGGCTGGAAGCAAAAATGTAGGGCTGTAAAAAATTACCTTTTTAACTCTTCTTTGAACAACTCCAGATTGGTCATTTTCTTTGCTTGACCAGATTTTCGTCCAATAATCTACAGTATTTTAAGAAGAAGAATGACTTACTGGCTTCTTGGAACCATCACCCTTAGATTCAACCTTTCCAACTTCCAAGGTCTTTGAGGATTTATCTCCAAATTTTGAGACGGGATTGTACATAGAAGCAGAGGAAGGAGCATCAGACTTATGTTCTGTAAATACAAGTTTTGCAATGGTGGAAAACAAGAGTTACCTTCATTGCCAGGATTTACGATCCCACCCTTAACCCAGGCTCGATCCAACTTATTCGACTGTTGAAATGTGTTTTCAAAGTCTTCAAGAGCCTTTGCTACCTCAGCCTCCTCTGCCTATCATAAGCAGCAAAAGAAATATTTGCTTGATATGTACCAACGTAAGCATAACAATGATTCACTCCATGCAGTTACAGTGTGGAAAAAGATAGAACCAAAAAACGTTATGACCGAATAACAAATAAGAGGCATTGATTCCAGACGAACAAAAACCGCAAAGTGGGAGGTCGACTCTTACAAACAAGCATACAACACAATGGGAACACCAACCTTCCTCTTTGATTCCTCATCTGCTTTTCTAAGCATAGTATAGGCCTGGATAAAATACTGCCGTTCTAAAACAGCAAGCACTACGCCACTACAGCACAACACACGAACAATATATTCGTCAACACGAGCGCCAACTCAAGCAATGAGGGTTAAAACAAATAATTCGCGCCTTTTTTAGTGAAGCAAGTACGTTAAGTAGTGGTTCGCTTTCATATTCAATAATGTTTACTTATTGCAATTTTTAGTAGAGCTATAAAATTAACACAAATGATAATTTTTTTTAATATTTTGTTTTGGATTTGCTTTTTTAAAGCTTTAAATTTGGGTTCTTGATCACTCAGTGTAGCGTCCTGAGACTTCTGTCAAGTAAAGAAAGACATTAAGTCGGGCCTGAGCTTGGCCCATAGGCCATCTCACGCATATTAGGGCCAGATCTATTATTCGGCAGTCAAAGAATAGCTAGTGTTCGGGGGGGAACAGAAGACGTGAGACTTTAACTTGATCCACAAGCTAACCCTGTAGCGTTCCAAGGCCTTCAATGGGGTAGTAGAAGGCATAAGTGGGGTTGAATACATGTATTCCGAAAGCAAAAGGGGAAATGGGGCCTGAGCGCGACCCGAAGGCCAGCCCACGTGTACAGGGCCCAGACAAGTCCTAAAGTGACCGCCAAACGTCAGATAGTTGCATAAACAAAGCATTACACTGCCTCTCTCTTCTTTTGAGCGACGTCCTCGGCGCTCCCCTTTGGTACACCTCCCGTGCCAGCCATCACAACATATTCGGTACTACAAGAAAGCATCCACGAGCCAACCGCGCCAGTCGCAGACAGCGCGAGAGCAGGGAACCGTATTTCATCTTCTCGGCAGCTTCAACTGGGTCTGGAGTTTCGTTCGGTCTGACAACCAGATTCGGGGGCCCCTGCATCTGTCGACCATCAATTGCTTCTACAACAGATATGTTTCAGGGATAAGGGGACGGGCCAATGTCCCGTATGCGAAGAGATCCGTTGTCATATCCGACACCTAAATACGGATTCGGTATGGAAAATTCCCACACGAAACTTTTCCAAATATTTCACTGCGGTGTCGCTTCAGTTGTTAATAGCTTGTCTGTGGAACACGGGAATAAGGTGAAACCAAATGCAGACGTCAGTCTCAACCCTTTCGTTGTGAAGGGTCCAGGGATCCTCCGTCTTCAAGGTAAATGCGCCCCCTCCAATTCACGTCCCGTTTTTGCCTGTATCTTTATCTACTGCACTTCGATAGATAGAGTCAGATATCCTTCTACGCATGTATAGCTCATGATTGCCAGAATGCGCTTCTTAATTTGGATTTCTCCCCTAAGAAGCAGAATTCGTTTGCAGTCTTGTCTGCTGGTTGGATTATAACCTTCACGTCGTGAAAATAGAGATTTCGACTTTCCGACCGAGGGAACCCGATTTTGGGGTATCTGCATGTATTGGACCAGTGCATCATCCGATCGAAACATTACTCATCGGCTTGTTCGTACTGTTCTTTTCCGGAAATCAGTCGGCTAATTGGCAAAGTTTAGCAAGGCAAATGTAGGATGTCAGTAAGGCAGTGATGTCTGTTGGACAACACATTTTTCCACACACTATGTCACTTTCAAAAGCACCTTATACCTAAAAGTCGTTAAAAAGATGTCGGGTTCGCTTTCCGCTGCCACCAGTGTAGCGTCCCGAGGCCTCCAATGGGTAGTAGAAGGCATAAGTGGGGTTGAATACATGTATTCCGAAAGCAATAGGAGAAATGGGGCCTGAGCGCGACCCGAAGGCCAGCCCACGTGTACAGGGCCCAGACAAATCCTAAAGTGACCGCCAAACGTCAGATAGTTGCATAAACAAAGCATTACAAACCCACTCGGCAAAATCCAAATTAACCTGAGGTCGATTAAATAGCTGCAGTTTTGGCGTTACTGCTTATACAGCCTTTTATGCTCCTTTTGCCGATTTTGCTGTGTGTGTCCTTGAAAATAAATGGCAGCACTTGCTGTAGCGTCCTGAGGCTTCTCATGGGGTGGAAGGAGGCGCGAGTGATATAGAATACATATATTCTGAAGACGAGAGGGCAAATGGGGTCTGAGCGTGGCCCAAAGGCCAGCCCACGTGTACAGGGCCCAAACGTCAAGCAGTCACACAAGCCAAGCATTACACTTGCTAACTCTGAAACAAAATCTTCCTTAATGTTCAGCCATTTGTCTACATATCTCGTACAGAGACTAACTTAATTCAGTTTTGCACCCGTCAAACACATTAAGCTTATGCCACCCTCTTGTAAACCCCCACCTTTGACAAATCGTATTACATCTTGCGGGCACAAAGTAAGGTAGACTCAGTCCGGATAAGAAGAAGAGTGAGATTGGTCATGCCTCGCTCATGTCCGATACAATTCACGTGCCCTCAGCACCACGTGCTTTTTACCTTGAGGGAATGAGCGAACAGAGCTGTGATATAACGTTTAACGCGGAGCTAGTGTCTCGGAGGCCCCATGCGATTTCGCAAAATTTCACATTCCTAAAGTAAATAGAACTCCATCCATGTGAAGTACTAAAGTCGATAGATTTCATCACCCTGTACCATAAAACAGTTTTTAGTAAAAACAATTAAAATTGCTATTGCTTTTACAGGCATCGACAATTTCCTACCACCAACTCGGCGTCGAAAGTTGACGTATTCGAGTTTTTTTCAAATTCGCCTTCAGTGTTGCTTTAATCTGCCTCCATTTCTTACCTCACGGATTCCAAAAGTTGGAATCGCTGTTCAAGTCCGCTTCAATCCTCATCCTGGCCATAAGCTGTGTTTGGTTTGAGAATACACTTGGTTAAAGGATTAAATGCGCCACTGTGCTTATCCAACTCGGCAGCTCAAAAAGATTGGTGAACGAAAAATAATTTAATAAAATTTTAATGCTTTACCCATGCGATTCACTCAGCGAGGTCACCTGATAAGGTCATCGTGTGATGAGCCGCCATGTGACCAAATCAAAGCCTCAATCCGTCAAGACAATCGATAGAGGCGCCTCCACGTGTCACAATTCGTCAATCTCCGCGTTTGGGTCGTGCGTCCGGAGGGGTGAGAGGCGATAGACGCTGCAATGTGCACCAAGGATACCTTCTACGTTCCTAAAAAGCTCTGTGATGAGTGCTGCAATGCAAAGTGTCCCAGTTGCGTCACAACTACAACACCACAAATGCTCTGTGAATCTCGCTTTCGACGATGCCGCAAAGACGCCCCCTGTGAACCAATGACACGCCCTTGCAGCCCCTGTCGACCCTGTTGCACCCCCACGCATGCACCTAATCCAGTGCCACCTTATGGACCCAAGTGCCCCTTAAACCAGTGCGGAACCTGCGTCGACATTGAGCGCCATGACAAGTGGGCAAAGAAGTGGACGTGACAGCAACTTACTTGTTCCATTTTCTGCATTTTTACTTTGCACTATTCAGTTGTAACTACTTTTGATGAATAATGATTTTGCGATGCTTTTGAAAAGACTACTTCTTGGGGTCGACTTTTTAGATCAAGTTTTCACACTAGTAAATGACGTGATGTGATCTGCCTGTCTTCGTCCCATCTCCTCCTAACCGCTTCCTCTATGTAGGATTCGTTAAGCATTAAGTACAGATTACAAGTGGTAATACGGGAATAAAGTGTGTTTGGGAGGGAGGGGAGGGGAAGGATGCCTAAGACGGTCCATTCGCTCCTCCAGCACGGCATTTCAAGTGGCCTCCTGCCTCTCCCTTGCTAGGCGCACATCAAGCAACTAAGTGTGTGTACCAAGACCGGAAAGAATGAGTATGGGGAATGTTTTGACCTGACAAGGAGCTAAACTATTTGACACTCGAATGGAGGCTCGCAACTTCTCTGCCTTTCCCTACCTACGCTACACCATCTCCCCTCCCTTGTCGGTATTGCATTTCAAGGCTCCATGGGATGGCAAATTGTGACACTCCCTCCACTGGATTCACGTGCTCCAAACCAACTCACGTGCCTCACCTTAGTAGGGTCAATAAGGAGACGCGGTCCTTCCCCCAACCCACCAGACCGAGAGGCCATCCAACCTCCACCATGCCGTCGGTTTTGGATCACCAATGTAACAACTTTAACGTCTGCCCTGGCTCCAACTGCTTTCCCTGCATGAAACCGATATGTCGAAAGCCCTGCTATATGGTGGATACAAGTCCTCTCAAATGCCTAGCATGTCACAAGGTGGAAACCTGTCCAGATGCATCGAGAGCGGAGGAGACTAGGAGTTGCACACTGCCCCTCACTTCTCCACTTGATCCCAAGGATCCCTTTGACCCATGCACGGATTGTGGTGTGCAACGTTTCGACAGATGGACTAGGGGCTAAAATTGATTTTTTTCCTTTGCGTGCTTTGCTTTGATACATATTTCCTTATTGTGCTTTATTTTTTAATATAAGTTAATGATTTTGCCTTGAAGTGTGGCATTCTTATCAGCTATCTGGTGAGGAAACAAAATGGAAGTTATTTGCGATAAATATTAACAACCCTTTTAGTCATAATTAGAAGATGGGGCGTTTAGTAATGTTATTTTTCAAGGCAAAAACGTAAGTATTTGGGGTTGTTTTAGTTTAATGAGTGTTTACTAATTTCCTTTAAGAGTAGTATGTGTACACCATGCGCAATAAGGCTGTCTTCCAGGGTAAGTAGAAAATTTACGAACGGAACATAGCAGTTTTACTGTTGTTTTACGGCTGGGTGCGAAAAGGTTCAAGTACAGCTGCGAGGAAGCAGCCACAGGCTAGCCGCTCCAGTCTTCACCTTCTAAGAGCCTGAGGGAATGTTCTTTATCCTTTCTGCAGCTCTGAATGGATCTGGATTTACGTTTGATTTTAAAAAATTTAAAAGGGGGGCGGATATTCCCTCAAGACCCTTTATTCTGAGCAATGAAAGCTCCAGGTGAACTCCTAGTAGTCCACATTGGATTTTTGCAGACTGTCGAAGAGACCTTTTCAAAATGAACCACTTGGGGTAACACCACACAAAAATGATCGCTGTTAGAGAAGTAGTGAATCATCGAGGACACCTCAACGAGGGCGGAAGATGCTCTGCTTCTTCTGTTAGAAGGTTGTATTGCACTTCTCAGTTAGAAGCCAGTCAACGGACGAAGATATGCCCACTGCTGTCCGCAGTGCAATGCTTCCCCTCCCCCCAATTCGCCACTAGGTGGACGAAAGCATTAGGCAAGGACGAATGCTTGTATTCAGGCGGAATGGAGAGGGGTTGAGCTTTGGCTTAACCTACAAGCCATCCTTCACAAGAGACCCCTAACTCTAAGTTGAAAACTTACTGCCCCTCCTCCCTAACTGCCATCCATCTTGGAGGAACACAGCGAAAGGGGACGTTAATGAAAACCTCTCCCTTATCATTTTCGTTGAGCACAAGTAGGTAGTGCGAAACCATGGGAACATCTTTATCACTAAAGTTATCCGTGAACTTGATTGACAACTTGTCATTGCTAGGAGGAAGGAAAAAGTCAGCCTTCACTTGCTTAGTAATCCCAAGGCAGTTTTTGACCCTCTACCCACTCCCCTCTAAGTTGAAGTCAATGAAAAATCCCCAACAATTAATGACGCTATCCGTCAAAATGATCAAAAGCCTCTGCCTCATAAATGCATCTACGTGGTTTGTCAAATGGCCTTGTCACGCTAATACATTCCAGGTGAAAATCCATTTTATGGAGTTCGAATGGCAGAAAATCGATTGGTGACCCGAGGATCTCCGGCACACTCGCCATTTGCAAAACTTGCGAGCGTCAGACGCTGTTAAGTGAAGCCTCTTACCTCATCGACAACACCACCGAGATGTCTTGTTCTCAGTCGTGCGGACAATCCTGCTGCCAAAAGAAGTGCAAGATGCCTATCAGTTCTGATGACGTCAACTTGGGCATAACTTACGACAAGTCATCTAATCGGTACAATGTCAAGTTGAATGGTTGTGAAGCTGGCTCCTGTGCTTCCAAGCCGTCTGGTAGTCAGCCACAGACGTGCAATTGTGGATCCTGCATCACCCTATGCCCACCTACCTGCCCTCAACCGCAGTGTCTTACTCAATGTTCACCCAATTGTCAAGGCAAGTGTCCACCGCCGGTCTGCTGCATGGCCAAATGCAGTCTACCCATGTGTCCTCTACGTCCAAATCCCTGCGATTCTTGCAGCAGTAAACCACGCTACAATAGATGGTAGAAGGATGAAGCTCTGCCTTTATTTGTATTGTGCTTTTTAATAATTTCTTTCGTTTCAATAAAATTTGGTTAAAGTGTGAACTGAATATGAGTTGCCTTTCTGTGAAGAATGGAGGAAAGAGACGGAGGCAAGGGAAACCTTAGTGCATTCAAGCGGGAATCGATGGGGAGAATCACGTGGATGCGCATCTTGATGCGCAAGCAATGAAGGTGCTGCACAAAGAAGTGACAGCTTTGCACGATCTTTAGCACCTCACAAGTTGGCAAATGAAGTAGGCGAAAGTCCGCCGAAGCACCCGTAAATGCGTGTGTGATCTGATGCCGTAACCATGGCTCGTGCACAATCGCTGCTTGACAGCCTTTAAGAGGCCATAAATAAACATGTGCGGATGTTCGTTGGGCCCTCTAAAAAGCACAACCTGCTGTGTAATTCATCGCTATTTATGCTTAAGTTTAGAGGATGATGAACCACATTTCGGTAAAATTATGGCAGTTGATAAAGTCAACGATCTCTTATGTAGTTATTGCATAAGCTTGCCAATCATGGGGAGCCTGTGTGAGAATCAGCGAATGATAGTCTACAGAAATCGACAGATTCCTCGCATTACCCCTAACTTATCACGTAATTAATAAAAACTGATTGAATCTTCAGCATATTTGCATAAAACGTTAACTGCGTCATTCAAACACCCCGCCAATCACGAACCTCATTTCTAATTGGTCAAAGGAAAAATTTGCTCTGTGATTGGGTAGACTTAAAAGGTTTTATTCAGCCTAGTGATGAGATGCTTATTGTCTACAAAAAAGTTATTGGCTCCAGACGAATACACTTGAGTGTTGCATATTTGTGTGATGATGTCTCAGTGCTTCCGACGCTCACCAGTATTTCACAATGCGTAATTCGCCATTTGCATTTATGCAAATTAAGGAAGCCTTTCAGCGCTCTAGTTTGTGTGAGGTGAGAGTTATACCTTAATTCCAATTCTGTCAAGATTATAGAGTAGTAGACTGGCGATAGCCGCAAGACTGTTCACAATAAAAGAGGTTTTCTCGTTAGATTAGATTGGTTTACACTGTTGCACAGGATTGAACTCGCATCATTGCGTCGAATATACCGCCAACGACAGTAGCAGTGGCGTTGAGTGATCGCGTTGACTTTCTGCATTTGTTTCTTAGAGCTCGTCTTGACTTGCAAAGTACCTGCGTTAAACGGCATAAATGGGTGGTACGAGCAGTTTTGTTCTCGACCTCTCGCCTGTAGCCTAACCACCGTCGACTCTCCAATTAAGAAGTCGAGAAATTGACAAGATTCTAAGGCTATAGAACGTTGCTTTTAAGTTTGATGAATGACCTCCGGAAAAGCACGTTATGCTGTGCCAGAAAAAAGTATCGTTATGAAGTCTTTTGGTTAGCAAACGTGTCTAGTCCTTCATCACTGCTATTTGGGAGTCGAAACTAAGGCACCTAGAAATCCCTGCTTACAAGATCATATTTTGCTGCACGAATATTGCTTTGTGAGGTAAATAATAAGAAACTTAAGGACAATTACGGGAATTTTGCCTTCCACTCACGGTGGATGTCGGTTGCATTCAAACATCTATAAACCAGACCATCCCAAAATTGTGACAGCATTCATAAACGTCCGGTTTCCGGTCAGTTCAATTCCACTCTTAATTAATGCTGAAGAATGCAGAGATCGAGTAAACACCTCTAAGCAAAGAGTTCTAAAGGTTTTGTCTCTGTTAGCCTACAGAAAAATGCTTCCCCAGCGCAACTAGATTCTCCTAAAAGTAAGCCACGGTTTCAAACAGTCACAATCCCTACTTAAGACCAGTTAAGACAATTCACGTAGGTGCATCCTACCGCTAAATAGATAAATCAGACTAATCTCTTCCTTCCTCATCAAAAAGGAAAGCACTTTCATTTTCTAACTAGCCCCACCATGATGCATTGATGAGACTAAAATGTTGGGAAATCTTCATAATCACCAAAATAATGCAAAGTAAATCGACCCATACATTCTTAAGATAGGTCTTAAGTTCGGAAGTCAAGGCCAGTACAGTCCTCTCTGTGACATCTGGCAACGGTATGATGGGTGGTGCTGATGACGATGAAGTGAAAAGTTACATCCCGAGACAAGAGGCTTTCTCATACTTTGACAATGGTCACAAGGGATCCTGTTGCATGGCTCTATGCATGGGGGACACGCGATGCAAAGATAGGGCGTTCTGAGAGCACAGTATTGGTTATATCCACAATAAGATTCCTCCAACTTTCTCCGCCAATCCCCAACACAATCACACCGCGGCATTTTCCCCCAATGTTCTATTGATTGGTTCACGTGATTTAAGCAGCCAATGAGATCTGCCGAAACTGATAGCGGTGCATTTTCATTGGTGTTTTGGCAAATTTAGTGTTTCCCAATCTTTCACCCAATATACAGAAAAAAAACATTGGAAATTGCATACACTTTATAACAAGATGGGAAGGGCAAATCAGCGAAAACAATGGACTGAAGAAGAGTTTTGTATTGTGTGGATCTTATTTACCTGTATATTTTATTTACACACCAAGAAATAATGGCTTTGTTTTGACACTGACTTGGACGGGAATGTTAGGAGATGCTTGTTTGCCTAAAGTTAATAAAATGGCAGAGCTGAATCCGGTTAGTTCAAAGTTAATTGACAGGGTGATAGCATGCAGTATTAATTAAAGCATCTTGCTAATCAAAAGATGAAGATACAAAAGATCTGCTCCTGTTTTTGTTTTTGATTATTTTTCCCAAACACTCACGGTCTACATAGCTTGTCTTAATTTTTTCGTGTTTTCTAGACGACTTTACTCCAAGCCTTTTCGAATTGCAATTTCCTTAACCGCATCTGTCGATGAAAGTTTGGCGCCAACAAAAGAGGCCAATTAAAACAAACACAATTCGGTTGTTATGGTCCGATAACTGGCGCCAAATGTTGACACCCTTCCTGCTCTAGAGGACAGTATCACCAAGAGTGGCACACAGGCCATTGTTTTGGTCATTAAATAAACCTTTATTTGACGCTGATTTAGTGAAGCCACAAAACATTATTTGTCGGTTTTATTAGTAGAGAGGATTAAGAGAAACAAACAGGAACTAATAGACTGGCTTGCGTCAGTCCTGATCACCTTCCTTTTTTAAGGTCCTGCAAGTCGTAACAAGTTACCCATTAGAGCTACACTGCAAGCCAGACTTATTTTTTCACCACCTCATATCCATGTTTGAACGGTCTACTAAATAGGAGCGAGTGAATAAGAAGGGGGAAAAAAGTGAGAGCGCATTCTATTCACTTGGTGAAGAAACTCACAATTGGTGGGTCGTAAGGCTACGTTTCCTGCGAAGTCAGTCGGAGATTTTGACCCATCAACTTGCAATACAACTCCGCTTGTTTTTGTTCATAAGTGGCGCGTTGAATGAGGTGTTTTGTGTGCTCTTTGCAACGTCTACGCAGCATACTCAAGTCCAACTTATCAGGAAGGCGAGTTCTTTCTGCCAACGTACCACTTTGCATTGACGATGATCCAAAACCCAATTGCTCCAATTCTGACCTCGATCCAGCCACAACAGCCCGACGAATTTCAATAAGTTCTTGTAGCTTATTCAAGGAACTGCGTTTGAAGGGTGTGGACTGACCAGAGATGGATAGATCGTGACCAGATTGGAGGGATCGTAGACTTCCCGAAATCACTTCCATGGAATGGACTCCCTTTGGGCGCGGTTTAGGAGTTTGAGATTGAAGTTCGGGAGGACTCGCTTGCTCAATTGGTGCATGAGTTCGTTTCAAAATGTAAGCAAGAAGAATGGCAAGAATT